GTTCTTCCAGATTTCATAGGTATACAACAACTTTGCTTTTATGTGTTTAATTAAGACCAACCAATATCTCACTTCTTACAGCCTATATATACAATATTATTGCAGCTGAGTATGCTAACTTGCCTCTAATCCCACCCTATCTATTCCCTGGTAATCATCGATACGTTGATGGAGTCAATTTTGCCTCAGCTGGAGCTAGGGCTTTGGTTCAAACCCATCAAGGACTGGTCTGTTATGTTTTATTGTTAACTATTTATTACTTGTGGATGAGATTGAATGATATCTTTTATTCTTTTGATTAGGTCTTTAATTAACTTTGGTCCATGCCATCTATTTTTATCTGACTGTTCAATTTGCAGGTGATAGATCTAAAAACTCAGCTCAGTTATTTCAGGAAAGTCAGCAAGGAATTGAGGCAGCAACTTGGAAATGCAGAAACCACAGCTCTGCTTGCGAAAGCTGTTTACTTGATCAACATTGGAATCAATGATTACGAAATTACTTGATCAGGTATATGCAGGGTGTTCTGAATCCAAACTCAGCTTAACGAGCTAGAGGCTAACAATGTAGGAAGCAAAGGAAATGATCTAGAAATGGGTGCAGATGGTAAAAAGGTGGGATCTGCGAAAGGAGAGCAACTAGACATCAAAGGTCAAGTATGATTCTTGCTCTGGATTCCGTTTCCTAAAGGCATTCTTAGTCTACTAATTGTGAACATAATTATGAATATTATTTTATGGACATAATTATAAATCATATTTAATTAAGTTAAGTGACATATGAATAAAAAAATGAATTTTATTGTTCTAAATCTTAACATGGTATTAAGAGCTCTGAAAAATTTTAGGGAAAACTTTTTTTTTTCAAAACCATAAGAGATTATGGTAGGAAACATGGTGAACAGTCTCATGGTGAGCTAATAGAAATATGGTTTAATGTCTCAATAGGTTCCTATTTTTGTTCAGAATTTGAAATAAGTCCCTTTATTTTTTGGCGTCTCAATTGGGTCCTTATTTTTGTTAATTTGATGCAAATAAATCATTTCCGTCAATTTCATCAAACGGCGTTAATGAATGTGTGACGTGGCCTGAGGACAGTATTGACACGTGTAAGGCCACGTCACACATTCATTAACGCCGTTTGATGAAATTGACGGAAAGGATTTATTTGCATCAAATTAACAAAAATAAGGACCTAATTGAGACGCCAAAAAATAAAAGGACCTATTTCAAATTCTGAACAAAAATAGGGACCTATTGAGACATTAAACCTAGAAATATTTAGCATCACTTTAGTACAATGACAATAATGACAATAATGACAATAACTTTTTGACATTTTTGAATGTCTTCAAAATGAAGGATCATCTTTACGAATCACATTTTTTGGATTATTGACATGGGAGTCTCACAGCACCATGTGACAAAAAAAAAATATTTGTTTGATAAATGTGAAAAATATTTCAACTATATTGGGACATTGTTGAATAGGAAAGATGTCACCGCTGCAAAGTAAAGCAATATGATTTTGGAGGTGATTTGCAGTTTGATAATGTTCTTTTTGTGTCATAGGCTTGCAACTTAACTTTTTTATCTTCTTTAATTGATGCCTCAAATTGTATCGTTCAATTTACAAATGCATTATGTGTAATACAAAACTGAAAGATGAGGATGTTGATTAGAGCAAGCGAAAGAATCAATGTACTTTATTTTTTTGGGTATTCCAAGTATACTCTCATTAACAATTGACAAGATTCATCAATTGATATGTGAAACTTGTCAAAAAAGTGTTAAGGTTCATCCCCTCATGTGAGTCAATTCAGTAAAAGCAATAATACAAAAATTTGTGATATATATGCCCCCTTGTTAAACAACATAGGAATACTTTTTCATTAAGTGAACATACTACAAGTAGTTTCTAACTTAGTTCATTGTGATTTATAGGAGCTTTCGCACTCCTTCATCTTTTATGGCATATTTTTATTTAACAATTGTTGATGATTATTTCCGTACAGTTTGAGTTTATTTGTTATGCAACAAAACTGAAATTATGTTTATGTTTACGAACTTTATTGCCCTTATTAATAGATAATTTGATATAAAAATAAAGAAAATACAAAGTGACAACGACATTTAATTTAACTATTTGCATGATCTTTCTTTAAAGAGTAAAATTGTGTTTGAGACGTCTTGTGTGGATACTCCACAACAAAACTGAAATTATGTTTATGTTTACGAACTTTGTTGTCCTTATTAATAGATAATTTGATATAAAAATAAAGAAAATACAAAGTGACAACGATATTTAATTTAACTTTTTGCATGATCTTTCTAAAGAGTATAATTGTGTTTGAGACATCTTGTGTGGATACTCCACACCAAAATGAGAGAATGGAAAGAAAACATTAACATATCATAAATGTGGCACGAACACTCAAATTTATAGATAATTTATCAATGTAGTTTTAGGGTGAATGTGTGTTAGCAACATGTCATTTAATTAATAGCACATCCTTAAAAGTGTTTAATTATTTCACACTTTATGAAAAATTATTTGGTTCACTAACATGAAAGTTTTGGGTTGTTTATGTTATGTGCATCATCAACATCGTGATGGAGATAAATTTGGTAGTAGAAATTGGAAATATATATTTGTAGGTACCCGTATGGGAAAAAGGGATGAAAATTGTATGATTTGGAATCCGATGAATACTTTGTCTCCCACAATGTGAAATTTTACAAACATGGATTTTCTTTTGCTAATAATTCACGAGCCAATGTTCTTTATACTCCTTACATTAATTCTATTATTGAGTATTGATGATAATTATGTTAGATGAGAGACTCGTGATGAATCACCCTTTTATGGGGTGCATTGTGGCCTTACAAGAAGAAGAACAACACAACTTCAAGGGGGATTATATGGAGACTGTAATGAAAATGAGAGACAAAGTATAAGTGGTGTGGATGATGAGGTAGTGTTTCCACATGAAGTTGATGGGGATGATTTTATGGTAGTGCAAAAACAAAACAAGAGACAAAGATGGGAAAGGGGATAAGAATCAAAATTCCATTGAAAAAATATAAGGATTTTGCCACTCATGTTATAAGAAAAGTAAAGTCCTAAAAATTTTTATCAGTTCAACAACAATTCTTAGGTACTCTTTATCCTATTATTCACTTTGTAAATAGTGAATTATTGACAACGGGAAAATAACCTACAAAATTTAAGAACGACATAAAGGATTCTGGTAGATGTACCATAATGGTTGACAAGATAAGAGTCTTGGAAGAGGACGAGACATGGGTTCTGCAAAAACTCCCGTTTGGAAAGAAATTTCTCGAAAGTAAATGAGTATACAAAATAAAACATCACTCATACGAAAGCATAGAAGTTTAGAAGTGAGACTCGTCATATTTGGACATCATTAGAGAAAAGGCATAAACTATGATGAAATATTTGCCCCAATGACAAAAATGGTGAACGTACATATCTTTTTGGCAATGGTTATGTTCATAATGGGTTTCTTCATGGTGATTTGATTGAAGAGGTTTACATGAAAGTTCCTCTAGTTTTTCAACACTCTGACCTAAATTTAGTTTGTAAGTTGAAAATGTCATTGTACGGTGATAAATGTCCAAATTAAATCAATTTAAAAATAATTGTAATACTTATCTTATTTTTTATTTTGTTTAGATTTTGCTTAGTTCACTCCTATTTATCTTATTTTGCATCTTTAAGCCTCATAAGAGAGTTAAAGTGAAAAAATAGAGAAATTGGATTAGAATCACGCAAATGACAAATTGTGACTGATGCGGTTGAGTGGTAGGATTGAGCTTGAGCCATATGCATGTTCTTTATGTGTTCTTATTTATAAAATGTGTTCTTATTGTAAATGCATGTAGACAAATTATGTTAGGTTTAAACTCTCATTTGGTCCTCATCGTTTTTTTTCGGTCTCAATTGGGTCCATAAACTTGTAAAATTGAGTCAATTAAGCCATGTCCGTTAAGTTTTCACTGGTGCACGCTATATAAAAATATTTTATTATGTGAATTTTTTAAAATTAAGAGTTTTTGTCGTGGCAAAATTTATTCCTAATCGAACCAAGGAATTTATCCTCCAGAACCTCACCTCCCTCACTGTCTCCGGCATCCAAATCAAAGCCTCTGGCCCCTTTTTTATCCTTTGCAGGGAGCAGGTTTAATTGGATCTTTATTGTAAGAAAAATCAATTTGTATCAATTGAGGTTGTTTGCTTGATGGTCCTTCGACCCTGCGAGTGGTGCAGAGAGACTTATGTTGGAGCCTTTCACTTTGTTCTTCTCTTTTTGGGAACAATGACTTAAGTGGGTCTTCCTTGTAAGAACCTGATGCCAAACACAGGAGAAAAAAAAGGGATTTGTGGTTTTTTTGAGTCAGAAAAGAATTTCACAGTTTATTTCACTCTCGCCCGTGTTTGTCATACTTGATTTTATTAGTTATTCTAACTCCTCTACGTTAATGTCCACTTTCTTGCAAATCCGGTGCACAATTTCTTGGCATTATTGTGATAAGTTATGGTTTGATTCTATTATATCATTTTGTATTTTGTTGATTCCTGATTACAAAATGAACAAGAAATAGTAAAAAATCATAAACAAAAAAATAGGGATAAATCCATAATCAGAGACATCATAAAAAAAAAACAATCAAGAAATTAAATAGATTCTTGAGAGTGTGTGAAATGAGTCACTAAGTGTTGTGCCTCTCTTTTCTTGAAGGTGTGAAATGAGTCACAAGTGAGAAAGAATTCACAGTTTATTCACAATTTATTGAAAGTGACAAAAGTGTTTCTAATCAATTACATTATACTGTCAATTACAATTACAAAAGTGTTTATCCAATGCAGAGATTATGAAACTGAAGATCCCACAAAAGTAGAAGACAAACACATACTACAAAAGCAAGAGGATTTGCCACTTTTCTTGTACACCCAAAAGCCACATCAGATAAGAATTTGAAGCCAACCAGTGTTACTATGTTTAACAAACATAACAATGTGACCATGGATGCAACATTAATGTTGAGTTATTGATATTAATGTTGAGTTATGGGAGCTTTAATGTTATTGAAATACTCAAGCTTGTCCAAATAAGAAGATTTCTGAGCATAATCAAGAGATTTAGTTGCACTATTTTCATCATTTTCGTCCACGAAATCCTTTAAATCTCTTGTGAGGTTACTGTTCTTTGCATCCAACTCCTCCTTGATTGAAGTCCAACCCATGAAATCTGAGAGAGTCATTCAAGGTGGTGTATCTGAAGAGTGAATGTTGGAATTTTCATCCTCAGAGTTTGGGGAAGTCCTCCCAGATATTGGTAAAGAATCCACTGAAACCCTTATGTTGCTCCAACGCCACCAACAATTATCTTTTCTCCGTGCACAAGCCTTCAACCTGCAAGAGAAATACAGAGATATAAAAACCCAATTGGAGTAGAAGTCGTCACTGTAGAGACCACCCTAGC